CCGTGCTGAGCTTGGTGTACGTGATTCTTAGCCGAGAGCCAGGCATCAGGAGGGGGCCTTGGACGGCCCAGCCTGAGCCTGGCTCACCACCTTCCCATTCCAGGCACGTGAAAGGACGAGTGCTGGTGGCTCTGGCAGATGGGACTCTGGCCATCTTCCACCGCGGCGAAGGTGAGGCCTGGCAGCAGTGGGCAGGTGGGCGGCATCTGATGGGCCTGGCAGGGTGTGAACCACACGCACTGTGAGCAGTTGTGGACCTGGCCAGGCCTGAGCCGGTGTGGTGGGCTCTGCAGATGGCCAGTGGGACCTGAGCAACTACCATCTGATGGACCTGGGCCACCCACACCACTCCATCCGCTGCATGGCTGTTGTGTACGACCGTGTCTGGTGCGGCTACAAGAACAAGGTGCACGTCATTCAGCCCAAGACGATGCAGATAGAGGCAAGTGCTGGTGATACGGGCTTTAGGGAGGGAAAGGGGCGTTTGCTGTCAGCATTGCTCCTGACACACCTTCTGATAGATGTTGGGGGCTCCATGGGGTCAGAGGAACTGCATTCAGGGAAGTGACTCATTTGTCCAAGGTCACAGGCAGGAAGAGGTGGCTGGACTGTGAATGCTGGTCTGTCTGGAGCTCACCTGCTGCTTCGTTCTGAAACAAGTCAAATTGATGCCCGTGCAGGGTGGGGCGGTTGGCTGGGGCCCTCCTAGGAGCCTAGACCCATGGAGCAAATCAGGCTCTAGAGCCAAGGTTACAGTGAGCTGGGTAGACATTGGGTGAAGCCCTGGCTGTGGCAGGTTCAGCTCCCCGTCCCCTGCCCCCATTGACGGGCTGCTGTGACCCTCAGAAGTCCTTTGATGCCCACCCACGGCGGGAGAGCCAAGTGCGGCAACTGGCATGGATCGGCGACGGGGTATGGGTGTCCATCCGCTTGGACTCCACACTGCGGCTGTATCACGCCCACACCCACCAGCACCTGCAGGACGTGGACATCGAGCCCTACGTCAGCAAGATGCTGGGTAAGGCTGTTGGACCGGCCTAGCAGGGCAGAGGGCCCTGAGGCAGCGCTGACCCCGCCTACTCTTCCCCCTACCCCCCAGGCACCGGCAAGCTGGGCTTCTCTTTCGTGCGCATCACGGCCCTGCTTATTGCGGGCAACCGCCTCTGGGTGGGCACCGGCAACGGAGTCGTCATCTCTATCCCGCTGACCGAGAGTGAGTGACCCAGACACCTGCAGAGGTGGTGATGGCAGCCGCTAACGGGCACGTGGTAGGGTCTCCGGGTGGGTGTGCTCTGCCAGGCCACTCAGGACATGGCTGCGCTGGCCACAGCCGTCCTATCCTGCCCCTCCTGTGACTGCTTCTCTCCTCTCCCCTCCATGCTTTGTCCCTCACCTCCCCCAGCTGTGGTTCTGCACCGAGGCCAGCTTCTGGGGCTCCGAGGTAAGTCCGCAGGCCTGCCTCCTGCTCTCAGAAAGCCCCCCACCCAAGATGCCCTGCGGGCCCCACAGCGTGCTCCTACCCTTTGCCCTCGCCTGCTTGGAAATTCCCAGTCGATGGGTTCAGCCCCTCCAGGCTCCTCTCTATCAACAGCCAACAAGACATCCCCCACATCTGGGGAGGGGGCCCGCCCAGGAGGCGTCATCCACGTGTACGGCGACGACAGCACCGACAAGTCGGCTAGCAGCTTCATCCCCTACTGCTCCATGGCCCAGGCTCAGCTCTGCTTCCATGGGCACCGCGACGCTGTCAAGTTCTTTGTCTCAGTGCCAGGTGAGTGGCGGGGCCCCTCCCTGCAGGGTGGCACCCGTGGCCTCCCTTCAGGAGCCTGCCTGTTGGCTCTGGCTGTCCTCCTAAGGTCCCTGTACCCCACGACAGGGAACGTGTTGGCCACTCTCAATGGCAGCGTACTGGACAGCCCGTCTGAGGGCCCCGGGCCTGCCGCCCCTGCCTCAGAGGCCGAGGGCCAGAAGCTGAAGAATGTGCTGGTGCTGAGCGGAGGGGAGGGCTACATTGACTTCCGCATTGGTGAGTGGGAGCTGCCTTCAGGCCCCAGGGGCTCCTGGGCAGGGGCTGCCCCTCACAGCCATCTGCTCTCTCTCCAGGCGATGGGGAGGATGATGAGACGGAGGAGAGTGCAGGGGACATGAGCCAGGTGAAGCCCATGCTGTCCAAGGCTGAGCGCAGCCACATCATCGTGTGGCAGGTGTCCTACTCCCCCGAGTGAGGCATGGCCTCTATTGCCCCCTACCTGGCACCATCATGTACATATGCCCACCCTGCCCCATGGGGCAGCCCACCAGCCCCTCTCTAACCTCTCAACCTGCAGCTTTCACCTTAGGTCCGGCCTGGGAGCTGACAGGGGCAGCAAGCAGCAAAGCGGATCTGGCTGGGAGGTGGGAGGTGGGAGGGACAGAGCCTTTGGGGACACCCTTTTCCAAGCAGCTCCTGGCCAGCCCCTAGTCCAGGGTCCAGACCCAGGGCACTGGAGGGCCAGAACAAGGCAGAATTCCAGAGTGAACATTCCCCAGGGAGCTCCCAACGGCACCATGGGCCCCCCATCTCATCGGGAGAGGAAGCAGGGTCCTCACAGCCAAGGCCCACTTGCCTTTGCCTGCTGTCCATGAGGGTTGGGGGGTCTGACCTTAAGGGAGCCGGTCCAGCTGCTAGCCTTCCCTGGGTTCCCCCATGCCCTGTCCCTGCCACCCCAGGAAATGGCATGAAAGCATGTATCCAGGCTCCCTGGGGCAGCTGTTTGAGAAGATAGATGCCCCCGTCGTGCTCATGTTCCCCGATTACCCTGTGTGGCAGGCTCTCACCAGCCCTCATCAATCCATGTGTCCTTTCCTTATAGAAGCAGGCCCTGCAGTCCTCCTCCTGGAAGGCCCCAGGGTGGGGTTTCTCAGGCTGTCAGGGCAGACCCAAGCCTCAGGAAGGGGTGGGGGGCACTAGGACACAGGCTCAGCCTCAGGGTGAGGGAAGAAGGTGTGCTCCAGGGCCTGCCTCCCAAGCAGTCTCCAAGGAGTCCAGCTCCCAAGACACGTTACTAAGTGCCTCGGGCTGGTGGTGTGGCCTTCTCCCTTAAGGGCAACTGACAGGCTGACAGCGGAGACCCTAAGGGCTCAGGACGGGGCCACCTCCCTGGCTCTAGGAGCATGCACCCACCTGCTTTGAAGGGCACCGCCCTGGACTGCTGCCTCCCCACCTGCCCAGGCCCAGGCCTTACTCCTGCTCCGAAAAACACTGATCAGGGCAGCCCCAGGCCCTGCTGCCCACGCACCTCCCACCAGAGAAGCACAGATCTTGGGCAGCCATGCCATAGCCCAGCCAGTACACTGCAGTCACATGCAGCTTAGGCTTCTCCCCACCGCCTGCCACTCTCCACTGTGATGTATGTCAAGTCCCTTGTCTGTTCCCACAGGGCCATGGGTGACCGGGGTTATCCGGGTGGATGCAGCTGGGGGATGGGGCTGGGTGACGATTCTCCTCAGGCTTTGGCCCTGCAAGCAAACTCATGTATCTGCTCTGTGTAATAAACGTCTTATCATGGAACCTCCGTGTCCCTGAACCCAAACCAATGTGAGCACAAGGGTTTTCTCCAGTTTATTATAAAAAGAAACGCTGGACCAAGCTGAGCGCCAGGCCACCGCTCTGGTGCATTTCCAGGCGCGCTACACAGTGCCGCCAATGTTTGGGGCAGACCCACCTGTCCTCTTGGAGGTCCGAAGGGTGCTGTCCACCCTGTCACAGAGGGTGTGCTGAGCCCCACCGCAGGGGCCTGGAGGGTGCGAAGTCACCCACACCTATTGCAGCCCGGGGTGCTCAGCTCGGGTCCGCGCCGTTACTCATACAGCCAGCGCTCGGCGCTGTCCTCCCAGCAGAGCAGCTCGTCGGGGCTGAACCAGAGCGCGATCTCTCGGCGGGCACTCTCCACGGAGTCGCTGCCGTGAATCACATTCCTGCGCGGGAAAGGCGCCCTGAGTGCGGGCAGGGGCCCCCGAAGCCCTGCTGGCGGGGGGTCGGCGGGGGGAGGTCGGGAGTGGGTAGCAATGTCCCCGGGGCCAGGGCCGGCCTTACTTGCCAACCTCGATGCAGAAATCTCCTCGGACGGTGCCGGGCGGAGCATCCGCTGGGTCTGTGGCCCCGATTAGTGCCCGGGAGATGCGCACAACGTCCAGGCCCTGCCACACCTGGGAACGGGGTCGGGGCACCGGGTCAGGGCGCGGCTCGGCGCGGGGTCAGCCGCCGCCCGGCCCGGCACTCACCATGGCCACCACGGGCCCCGAGCCCATGTACTTGACCAGGCGGCCGAAGAAGGGGCGCTCCCGGAGCTCCGCGTAGTGCTCGCGCAGCAGCTCCTCCGAGGCCTGCGGACGAGGGGGTCGGGCCGCGGCTCAGAGGCGCCGCCCGGTTTCCGCGCCCCCCCCCCCGCCCGCCCGCGCCCCGCCCCACTGCACCAGCTTCAGAGCCACCAGCTTGAAGCCCTTCCTCTCGAAGCGCTGCACGATCTCGCCCACGAGCCGCCGCTGCACGCCGTCGGGCTTCACGGCCAGGAAGGTGCGCTCATGGACACCGGCGCGAGCTGTGGGACCGCGAGGCGGCGGCGCGCGTCAGCCCGGCCGAGCCCGTCCCCACCCGGCCTGGCCCCCTGCCCGGCCGCTGCTTACCCGCCGGGAATAAGTTGGCGAAGATGGTCAGCACCAAGCAGATCATGATGGCGGCGGCAGCGGGAGTGAAGCGCGGCCTCGGGGGGTGGGGGCGGGGCCTGCGTTTAAAGGGGCCGCGGCCCGACCCGCCTCGTGCCGGCCTCCTGGAGCCGCGAAGAGTGAAGCTGGGCCTGGGGTCCACGCCCAGCCCGGGACCCTGGGACAAGGAGGTCTGTACCGACCGCAGTCCGCTCCCGCCTTCCCACCCACCAGGCCAGGACACCAGGGTGTCAACCTTTCCCTCCCCGCACTCCTGCACACAGCCCAACCCAAACTCGAAGGAACCACAACCCGGCTGCTGCATTTGCCTTTATTCGCTCTCAAGATTCGGTCCTGGCTGAAGCAACGCATATGGGAAAGGGATGCCACCTGGAAGTGACAGGTGCCCGCGCCGGGGCTCCACACCTGCAGCCCCGCTGCTGCCAGCTCTCCCCCAGCAGCTGCCTCCTGCGGGCCCCGTGCACACTCCAGACCGGAAGAAACCACCACCCTCCACCGGACCACACGCACGGTGTCGGTCTTCTCCCAACGCTCCCTCGGCCAGATCTGGGTTTGGAGAACAGGGACAGAGAGAGACAGGCGCGGGGTCTGGCGCCCCTCTGTTCAGTGCGGTCTCAGAAAAGCCACGGAGGTCCCGGGGGCTGACTCAGGAGCAACACAGACATTCTGATTCACCAGGATGGTGGCCACTGCCTTGCACCCTTTACACAAACTGCCGGTTCTGGCATTTCAGACAGGAGTGCCCTTGGCCCTTTTCTTTGCCTCTTGTTTCTCGGGGTAGTCCCAGGGCTCAATGGGGACTCTCTCCAGACTCAGCACGGGCTCCTCGGTGCTGGGGTCCCCATTCTTCCGTCGCTCTGCCAGAATCATGGCCCGGAGCAGCGGCGGGTAGGGCACGGAGCGCAGGGTGTCCTCCGGCGCCGGCGTGAAAGCGGTGAAGGCCGCCTCCTCGTGCTTGGGCACCAGCCGCCAGTCGTGGTACATGGTGTGTTCGATCTCCCGGGCCTCACTCTCCGTCTTTCCTGGGGAGAGAAGGGCGGGCGTAGTGCACACACTTGCGGAACCGTCTGTTGCCAGCAGCCACCCTAGCCGGCCTCCGACTCCTTACCTTTGAAGGTCAGGATGCCCCAGGCCTTGCCATGGTCCAGGTTCTGCAAAGCAAACAGGGAGGGGTCAGCTCACCAAGCTTTCTCGCCCCCAGATAGCAACACGCAACGCCGCGTGTGAGGGAAACGGTGCTGCCCCGCGACGCCCGGGAGCGGGAAGGGGAGGGCGGGCACACGCACCTGCGCCGTGTAGTCCGGCCGGACACGCGTGAGGCGCCAGTAGCACGGCTCGTCGTGCTGCCACAGCCAGGACTTGCGCGTGACCAGGCGGCCCCAGGCCGAAGAACGGGGAGGCGGCCGAGCAGCTGCAGGGAGGCGGCTTTCGCGGCGCACGTCCGCCCAGGCCCGCATGGGCAGCCGGCGTCCCGAGTACGGGCGCGTCAGCGTCTCGTAGTCCAGGGCGTAGAGCTGTGAGTCGCGTGGCCGTTCCCGTCGCTCGCGGAGGGCCCGCACACGGCGGGCCAGCTCGGCGATCAGGCGCGGCCGCACCTTCTTGCGCCCCATGGCCTGCCCGCGCCTCCCCGCCGCGCTTGGCGAAGCCCGCCCGCCGCCGGAAGCGGCTGGTGTTCTCTACAAAGGCGTCCGGGCACGACCGGAAGCGGAGGAGGCGGGGCACACTATGGCGAAGGTTGGGTCCCGCAGGGTCGGGCGCTCGTGTCGGGGCCAGGGACAGCGGCGGCCCACGACCTGGGAGATCTCGGACTCGGACACTGAGGGGCCCGTCGGCGCGGGAGCCGACTCAGAGTCCGCCGTGAGGGCCCGGGACCCGGCGGAGAAGCGCAGAGAGGCGGCCGAGGCGCTGCGGCTGCTGCGGCCCAAGCAGGCACTGCGGCGCCTGGCGGTGCGCGTGGACCCAGGTGCGCCCGAGGGCGGGGGCAGGTGTCCCGGGAGAAGCCGCACTTCGGCCGGAGCTTGGGTTTTGGAAGCTCTTAATCGCTGGGAGGTTGTCCCCGGCCCAATGCGGGGCGAGAGGGGCCTCTGTCAAGGCCGCCTCTTGGCCAAGAATTGGCGCCGGCTTTCCCGCTGGGGAGCTTGATGAAAAGATTCGGGGAGCTGGACCTATCGCGCTCTTGGAGCGGCAGCATCGGTGTGTTTGTCATTCGCCGCCCAGGCTGGGGGTCTGCTGTGAGCAGCACCCTCACGTGGAGGGAGAGGAATGACAGCTTCTCTTCCGCTCACCCTAGCCATCCTGGAAGATGCTGGTGCTGACATCCTGATGGAGGCCTTGGGCTCCCTGGGCTGTGAGTACCACATCGAGCCCCAGCGCCCCGCCCGGAGCCTCAGGTGGAGCAGAGTGAAGCCAGAACCTTGCCCCTGCAGTGTGAGTGCCCCAGCAGCCTCATTTCCAGGGTTTACCTAGTGCGGCCCTGGGTTGGGTGTTTCGCCGCTGTGATTTCATGAGGCGGTTGCTGTAATCATGCATATGAGCTCAGAATGGGGAATGCTGAGTGGGTGATGCCCAAGCCACTGCAATGGTCAGTTGCAAGCCCGAGTCCAGGGCCTGAACTCATCTGGTGCTGAGGAATGTTCCATCCCCACTGATGCTGTGGTCAGTGCTCCTGCCGGCCCTTGGACCAGGGCTGGTCTTGGCCGTGGTAGGAGATCACCTTGGCTTCTGTAGATCTTTGTGGGCATGGGCGCTTGCCTGTGGCCATGAGCCTCAAGGTACTGTGCTGCCCGTGCCAAGGCCCTGGGACACTTGAGTCTCAGGATGAGCAGCAGTACCCCTGGGCATCCCTGCAGGTGCCTCCTGAAGTGTGGGCTGCGGGTGAGCAGGAACTTCTGCTGCTGCTGGAGCCTGAGGAGTTTCTGCAGGGTGTCTTCCAGCTGACCCAGGTGCTTGGAGGGGGGCTGGGTTCCCAGCCTGGATGTGCTGTTCTGCCAGGCCTGATCAAGGACAGAGGGGCTGAGAGGGCATGCAGTGGGCTGGGGCTCCTCTCTGTTCAGCAGCCAAGATGTGAATGAGATGAGGGAAGACAGCTGGGCTCTTGGCCTGGGAGCAGACGGGAGCCACAGCTGCTTCTAGAGGGCAGCAGCAAGGATAACGAGGGCGCTCTGGAGAGTCAGAAGCCAGAAGTGGGGAACTGGTAAGAGGGGGCCTGGGGACTTGGGCTGCGAGTTGGCTGTGCAGTCCAGCTATGAGAGCCACCAGCCCAGACCCCACCTGGCTGAAGGAGCAATAGGGACTGCTCGGCTGCTGTTTGTGCCAGAGGGTCATTAGGTTAGACCCTCTGTCTGAGGTTCAGCATTTATCACGTACCTGCTGCCAGGCTGGGATGCAGAGTGGACCAAGAATGGGAATGGGGGCTTTCGTAGGTCCCCTTGACCTCCTGAGAGGCACACAGCTGGTTTTCTAAAGAAAGCTGACTGGGCAGAGGAAGTCTCCAGTCTCCTCCCAGCACCACTGGGTTGTTCTTGCTCTCCTTTCTGCAAACTGGCCGTAGTCTGGTGAGCCCTGCCTACCGCAGCCCCAAGGAACGGGTGGTAAACCTTCTTGGCTTGCAGATCTGTGGCCCAGCCTGTTCAGTGCCCTGGATCTCTCCTGAGAGCCCCGCCTGCCTTCACCTGGCTGTCATCGGGCTGGATGCCTACCTGTGGTACCAGTCACCCTCACACCCTGAGCAGGCCTGGCTGGGGTGGGGGAGTTCAGGGAAAAGATCGCGGTAGCTCTGGGGCTGCTAAACCCCTCCCTTGGGTGGGCTATGGAGGAAGCAGAACTCAAGGAGGGTGGGACCAATGGGATCTGGGGATCTGGAGGGACAGTCACCTCTGTTCAGGTCTCACCAGCCCAATGCCCAGGAGATGCAGCAGCCAGAGAGTCCAGGGGCAGCCCGTGCAGAGGTGGCGGTCGGCTGGCCTGAAGTGGAGGAGGTGAGGACAGGGCAGGTTGGATGAGGTGGTTGGCCTTGGCCCTGACAAGCTGGTCTCTGAGGTGTGATCTCAGGGTGGCATGTGAGGCTGGTCTCAGCTAGGTGTCCCCCAGGGGAGCCCTCTGAGCCATCCTCATGCGTTTGTGTCCTCCTCAGGCCCTGGTGCTCCTGCAGCTCTGGGCAAACCTGGATGTGTTGCTGGTGGCCTCCTGGCAGGAGCTGAGTCAGCACGTGTGCGCCTTCACTAAGGCCCTCGCCCAGCGCCCCTTCAAGTGCGTGACCCCCACTTCAGCTGGTGGCTGCTATTGGGAGTGTTCACAGGAACACCTGGAGGGGTGGTACTTCCCGGGCCTCTTAAGGCCAGAGGGCTGAGCTGGGGGACTGGGTGGTCAGGAGAGATGAAGCCTCTAGAAACCCCCCTTTTCTCTCCCCATCAGGCAGTTCCAAGAGTCCGGGACCTTTTCCTTCTGCACGGCTGGGCGCTGGGTGGCAGGCGAGCGCGTGACAAAAGATGGCACAGGGCTTCGGGGGGCCTGGTGGCGACAGATTAGGCAGTTCAACCGAGTCAGCCCGGCTGTGGCTGATGCTGTTGTCACTGCCTTCCCTTCTCCCCGCCTTCTGCAGCAGGTGAGCCCCCTTAGACTCTCAGACATGGAGGCCAGGTCCCCGAGGCCTGCCCTGCTCATCCCCGAGGCCTGTCCTGCTCATCCCTGTGCCTGCCCTGCTCATCCCTGTGCCTGCCCTGCTCATCCCTGTGCCTGCCCTGCTCATCCCTGTGCCTGCCCTGCTCATCCCTGTGCCTGCCCTGCTCATCCCTGTGCCTGCCCTGCTCATCCCTGTGCCTGCCCTAGGCGTACTTGGCCTGCAGCACTGATCAAGAGCGCCTGGCCCTCCTGGCTGATCTCCCCGTGAAGGTGGATGAAGGCGCTCGGCCCCGAAGGGTGGGGCCTGACCTTTCCCGTCGCATCTGCCTCTTCCTGACCTCCACCAACCCTGACCTCCTGCTGGATCTGAGCTCCTGACCTGCAGGGCCTTCTCCCACCAACTGAACAGAAGGCACCCCAACAAGGGAGAGACCAGAAACCAAAGGGGCGGGGGGAAAAGAGCTCACCCAGCACAGCTGTCCCTCAGCCTGGGGAGGGGCTCAGCCAGGTCTGAACCCAGGGGAGGCGCAGGGAGAGGAAAGGCTCTGGGTAACGAGCAGAAGAAACTCCACGTGGGGCTGGAGGCTGGGGCAGGGCCCTGCGCACACTGGCTGCAGGCCTGGGGCCAGCGGGGACAGCGGGGAGAGTTGGGTAGCACCTAAGTCCCTGCTGGGGGACATGCACCATCACCTGGAGGCGTGGGGGTGGCACCTTCAGAGAGAAGTGAGACTGAGTCTCAGGGGAGAAAAGAGAGCCAGGCTGCCTCTTCCCCAAGGGTACTGCAACACAACCAGGACCACGGGAGAAAAGGTCTTGATGCGGACTCCTTTTAATGCTACCACTATGGAGGTGTTGGGTATAAACTCAGAGTTTATTACGATCGTTTCAGTCTCAGACAGGAGGAACAACTGACAACATGCAAAGCAAGTGAGGACAAACCCAAGGTCCCCGAAGGCTGGCAGCTACAGGAAAGGTGACATCTGATGAGGCCACAGACTACAGCCTCCAGGCCAGCAGGCTCCGTCCAGAAGAGCTGGTGTGGCCACTCATAAGAGACTCCAAGGAGAGAAGCAGCCGCTGCCATGCCCCGCACAGGAAACAGATGGATTCAGTTCTGGTCTCAGGATCCCAGGGCTGCGGCCTCTGAACTTGCGGCAAGGCCTGCTCTAGCCTCTGAGGGCAGGGGACGGCCCAGACAGACCTTGGCCCAACTCCTCCCTCTCGTTACTCTGGAGCATGGCCTGAGGGAAAGGATGGAGAAAATGCTGTCCTCGCCTCAGGAGGCAGTTTTCATTGGAAAATAAGTTAGGTCCTTCGGCAGCGTTTTCTCTGGCAGCGCCGGGTCTCTGGGCTGTTGGGACTGACCGTGGCTTTGGGTGAGGACATGGGGGACTTGTGGTGGCCACAGCTCATGCTCAGGACCCAGCCCAGCTTGTTTTGTAGCACCTGCTTGAGGCCAGGTGGCAAGGGCAGGCCCTCAAGCGTGTCCCCAGAGTTGGGTCGTAGCTGGCGCAGGCGGTGGCAACACAGGTACTGTAGGGAGGTGGCGCTGGCACAGGAGCGGATGACCTTCATGCTGCTCTTGGCCGCGGTGGAGCACACCATTGGATAGAACTTCCTGTTCTGCAGCTTTGTGGCTGCCACACCTAGAGGGGGCACAGCCTGAATCCTGGGCCAGGAGGGGGCTTAGCCATTCTTTGGACATCCTCCTGAGATAACTAGGGTGGCCCTCGTGCTGTCCCACCCTCTGAGACCCTGGGACCTCAGGCTTCTTTCTTCAAGGATATCTTTTTGGGAAGCCTTAGGGCCACTCAGCCTGGGCCCGTCTCTGCTTCCTACAGGACCTCAGTAGCAGCCACACCCCACAGGCGTTTGTCTCCCCTGGGATCCTGGACACCCTCACCTATGCACTTCCTGTTCTTAAAGAAGGTCAGTGTCCCATGCCAGGTGTCCAGGTGCACGCCAATGATGGAGCCCTGGCCGAACCTCGAGGAGAAGCTTGTCTTGTCACCCTTGTGGTGGAGGAGCCCTAGGGGGCAGCAGGAGGCAAGGGGTTAGCCTGATGTCTGGGGCCCCCTCCCAGCATGCCTGCCCCTAGGGGCCCCACATACCTGTGTAGGAGAGGCCCCAGCTGTCCTCATCCCTGCCGAGCAGGCTGCAGAACGTGTGGTGGTACTTGTCCAGGTCCACATCCGACGTCCCAATGCCCACCATCTGGAGACAACAGGCCAGGCAGAGGGGGGCCGGGGCCAGGGACACCAGCAGAGCTCCTCCCCCCCACGGCCCTGCCTGTCACTTACCATATCGGTGCCGTACACAGGTGAGGTCATCTTGATCTCCCAGAAGTGCTGCCCCTCCCCTAGTTCCTTGGTGCCTCGGATGGCCGCTGTGCCGCAGCTGTACTCCACATGGAAGTTGACCTTCCGGTTGTCACAGCTCAGCAGGGTGGCTGAGGACTTATTCAAGTCATCCCAGACCCAATCAAAATCTAGGAGAGGAGTGGGGATAAGGACACTTATGTAATAATAAAAAAAATTTTAAAAAAAATCGAGGCGAGGAAAGGCCAGGTTGGGGTAGTCTCTTGAACCCCTGCTGCGTCCTCATCTGGCCTAGAGATCTGCCCCAGCAAGCCCAGTGACCCTCGCCAGGCACTTACACTCATCTTCCTCCCCACAGCGGCAGTCCTTGCCCCGGTGCGCCGCTGTGTGCAGACTGCTGCAGAAGGAGGCCTCGCTCTGATTATCACAGTTGCAGAAGGACTCACCCGTCACAGGCACAGCACTGGGGATGGATGCTGGCAGGGACGAGTACTCAGGGTCAGAGTCAGAGTCACTGTGCTGAGAAAAAAGGGCAGGCTGTTCCCCCTACTGTGCTTCTGCCCTCCACCTGCCACAACACCCATCTTAGGCCAATGGGTGAACTGCTGATGCCCCAGGTTTAGCCTCAAAGGGATTCCCCAGGTCCCAAGAGCACAGCCGGACCACGCTTCTACAGTGCTCCCAGAGTGACCCTGCACACCTCCTGGCTCAGGTATGGGGAGGGCCTACCATGCTGCTGGGTTCCCGAGAGCGGGCTTCAAGGCCAACCCCATTTCTACACAGCCAGGGGGGCCCGGGGGCCCAGGCACTGATGAGCCCACAGCAGTGCTATATGCTTGGCCATCGTTCTGCAGCCAGTTTCTAGATCACGGGTAAGCTGGCCCCATCAAGGATGGCCTGAAGAAGGGGGGCACCTAGCAAAGTCCACTGGTGCCCTACTGAAGCCCGGGCCTCCCCACAGGCAGCAGCTGGGCTGTGGTAGTGCTGGCACACATTCCTGACTGTAGTGGCTTTACTATCCTTACAACAGGTGGTTCTTAACCCCCACCCCAGAGCCCTAAGGAGCCCAGGGGTTTCATGCTGCTTCCAACTTCTGTAGTAGGAAAACATTCGGGGGGCGGGGACAGGGGGCTGTCCCTCTACCTGAGGGGCTCGGTCCTGGGCTTGATCCCAGGCTGAGCTGGTCAGGTTCTAGCAACTGCTGACCCACCCTCTCCTGGAAGCCAGCAAGAGATGCTCTGTGCACCTAGTCGTTCCTGCTCTGAAGCCACACAGGCCCCTCTGGATATCTGCCTTGACTCTGGACCCCAGGCCTCTGCCTGCCTGCTGTCAGCCCTCTTGGGTTGGCTCAGGGTCCTGGTTAGGCTCCAGCCTCCACCCCGGGTATTCCTCTTGCCTCCTTGAAACCCTTTGCAAAGCAGCCCAATGACCTTGCTCAGACCTAGGCAGATCATGCCACCCTGAGCATGAAGCCCACATACCCCCATCAGAGCTTACCTGCTCTGGTCCCTCCCCTCTTCCCCCACCTGTCATGAGGGAGAGCTCTTTGCCCCTGGATGGCAGCTTTCAGATATCACTCAAAGAGGCTTTTCTGGTCCTCCCTCCTGAGTCCTCTTCCTCCTCACCTGCTTCTGACAGTCTCCTCTGTCCTGTTGCTCTGACTCCTCCAACCAAAACAGAAGCTCTGCAGGGGAAGAGCCTCGTCCTTGTTTCTTCCTATTCTACCCAAGGCCCATGCAGAAGCTCATAAACCAACTGGAGAGACTAAGAGGGTTGAACTCCAATCAGAGACAGCCCCAGAAAGGAGACTGGAGGCAGGCCCAAATCACCCCACTATCAAGGAATGGTGATCTCCCAAAAGCCAAGGCAGGCACACTGCCAGCCATAGGCAGCCCCCTTCCCAGAGTCAGCAGCCAGGAGCGCAGGCCTCAGTACCGAAGGCCTGGAGGTCAAGCTGGGCAGGGGGCAGACCCAGCCCCTCGGCAAGCCAGAGGGAACGGTGGTGTGTGTTTAGCCTTCAAGGATGCCAAGGTGACACACCCACCTGCTCGCCCACACAAATACTCCAGGCCAATTAGGTGATGGGGCAGGCTGCACGCAAGCATGTGTCAAACACTTGTACCCCAGCCGCCCAACACTGCCTGCATCCCAGAGTGATGAGCCAGTGAGGGAGGGACAGACACAGGAAAACAGACTGCTCCAGGCCACATGGCCAGGACAGGAGCTGGGAGAGAGACAGGAATGCAGGCCAGGACCTTGCTGGCCTGGGCAGCGATTTGGGGGAGACTCCCAGGATTCTGTCCATTCAGAACAGTCACTTTTAATTCTCCATCAGGGCCTGGCAGTTCCACAAGGCTTAGCTGCCCTCACTCAAGGGACGAGAGGTGCCCACCCACTATCCCCAGGATGCCTGGCTGAGCCATGGGAACATGCAGGGTGCCTGTGACGGCACAGACAAGTCACCTAAAGATCACCCCAGCAGGAAGCAGTGGAGGTGACTCAGGGCAGGGCCAACCCCTTGCTCTCATCTAAGAGATTTTGGAAGATGACCGGAAATCTATTTCCCACCACTCCCTGAAGTGGGCACAAAAGCCACACCGCTCAGCTGTCCCCAGGGTCCGTACAGCCAGCCTCTGGCTGCAGAGCCCTCAGGTACACCAGGCAGCCTGCACTGAGACCAACAGCTGAGCTGCTGTTCCAACCAGAACTTGGGAGCAATTGAGAGGGAGAAGGCACAAGAAGTGTGGTCTCCAAGACTAAAGATCGTCTCACATGCACATACACAAATATAGAACACGAATCTGTACAGGCAGGGGAACCGCCCAGGAGGGTGCAATGGAGTTAACGACAGCTACCTTCGGAAACTGGTTATAAGAAATGGAATGGAGAGATTCTGTTGAATGAACCGACCAAAGAACCAACTGCCACCCTCTTCAGTGGAAAGTGTAGAGAGGAATGGGGATCTACCCCGAGGTCCTGTCACCCCAGGGCCATGTGGATCCTTAACCAGGGTAAACCGGGGGTGAGCAGTAGGGTCCTACTGCCCTCTGTCCTCGGGGGCTTCTTGCAGAGGGGCCTCTGCACCTTAGTCCAGCAGTACCCACCTACCTGCCCATCAGAGTCATAGCCCCAGGTAGTGGTCCCTGCCAGAGCCATGGCCCGGGCATCTGCGTCTCGGTGGGCTGCACTCAGGACAAAATGCCATGCTCTGCTGCTCCGCGGGCGCCTGGCCATGGTGGACAGGATCTGAAAGAAAACAGGTTCTGAGCAAAGGAAACACCGGGCATACGAAGGTCTCCCAACAACCCCTGCATCTGGACGTGGCTGGCTGGGCCACATCCCCCTCAAGGGGGAGCATTTTGTGAGCCACATGGTGCTAAACTGAGGCTCCAGACCTCACCTCATAGCTCCTACCTCACTCCAGTGTCCAAGCACCTTGATAAACACTACGTAGAGTGTGTGAAAGGCCGTCCAGACACACATGGCTCTCCAATCCCTAGCTCAGTCCCGCCTTCAGCTCAGCCTAGGGAACCCAGCTGGGCCGCCGGGATGTCCCGCAGGCACCTCAGACCTCACCTGGCTCCTCCTCCATTGTTGTTTGACAAATGGCATCTCCAGCCTCCGGGTTCCTCATGCCAGACTCATAGCATTCACCCCCCTCCCGACTTCCTCCTTCCCCACACCAGCTCCGCAGAGCCAGTCCCACCCCACACACTCCGCTCCCTACACAGCCAAGCTGTTTTTGACACAGATCTTGAAACTTCAAGCAAACCTTACATCTTTTCACTCCTCAGGGATTGCCATTCTTCTTAGGATAAAAGGCAACATCCCCCAAAGCCTATCAGGTTCCGCTGTGCCTCTCCAATCCAGTGGCCGTGTCCCAGTTGCTAGCTCTTCCCTGCCCTTTGCCCGGAATGCCTTCCCCTCCCCTCCTTGGCTCTGTTTCCGTAGCCGACTTACAGTCACATCTCGATTTCTATGAGTATCTACTGCCTAGTTCTCCCC